GGCTCCTCTGTCCATGGGATTCTCCAGGCAAGAATACTGGGTTGCCATTTCTTCCTGCAAAAGAGTGTGTGTGTGTGTGTGTGTGTGTGTGTATAAATATATATACACATATAATGAGTGAAGTGAAAGTCACTCAGTCATATCCAACTCTTTGCGATTTCATGGACTATACAGTCCATGGAATTCTCCAGGCTAGAATACTGGAGTGAGTAGCCTTTCCCTTTTCCAGGGGATCTTCCCAACTCAAGGATCAAACCCAGGTCTCCCACACTGCAGGCGGATTATTTACCAGCTGAGCCATAAGCACATAGAAAATAAACGCTTAGCTAACACATCTCTCGAGAAACACATTTGAATAGACAACAAATGTGCGAGGTGGCGAGCCTCAGGCCCCTAAAATTGTGTAGACTGGAGCCCAGTTTTCCTTTCACGGAGTCACAGGAAGCTGGCTCCACCCAACATAAGCCAAGGAGAGGAGGAAGCTAGGGGAGAACCCTGGGGAAGTTGTGGGGGGGCGGTGATGCTATCTAAAAACACAGTGGTTTCTCTTTTCCCCTCTTAGGGAAGAACTGCTGCCCAGACTCAGAGAGTTACTGGAGATGGGACTAGTCTGACGCATAAACACAGTAGCCGTTGTGCAATGGAGATGACTAAGAAGCACAGTGAATGACCCCCCCCCCCCCATCTCCCACCCACAGGCCAGTGGCAGTACCGGAGATCTCCACCAATCAGTCTGCTCCTAAAGGTCCTGAGAAAAGTAATCCGTCACCTTACACTCATCCAACATCTCTTTAGCTCCTACTGCATATAGACCATTTTGGGAGAAACATCCATTCATGTTTGTCTGGTAATTTACAAGGTACCTGAGTAGCTAATTTGATCATCATGATAATGCTATGAAGTAGGTATTTAAGATTCTCCCCATTTTGTAGAGGAAGAAACTGAGGCCCCATGAGGTTAAGGGTTAAGGGGCTTAATGCAAGTCAAGTATGTAGTAAGTAGCAGAGTCAGATCGGGCTCCGGAGTCAGTTGGGCCTGGCTCCAAGTTCTTGGTGTTTTGTTCATTTTTTTGTTTTGCTTTTTTTCATCCCCGCTGCTCTCAAGAAGTTTACAGAAAACAGACAAGTCGACTAATTGACAAAATGATCAGGGGCTTTTCAAACCTGGTGTCTTAGGAGTCCCCAGGGGGCTGAGAGGTGGGTGGCACTGGACCTCCAGCTCCCCAGACATGGCGACCAAGATATGCTCCCCATTTTTCTGTCTCTGGGGGTACAAGTGGTTCGATTTTCCAGGAGAGATGATAACCACAGGAAAACCAAATGAGAATTTTCTTGAACAACTATTGTGCATCAATACCTACTGAGCCTGGAGTGGCAGGGAGGGCCACTTCAGGGAGCTTAAGGGGAGCTTACAAAACAACCCACTTGTGAAAACTTGAAGAACAATAAAAAATTAAATAACGGCTCAATTTAGCAACAGACGAGCTGTCCCACAGCCGCGTTTGGTTCCCTAATTAATTGCTTCAGCCGTGACTTGGGTGGTCAAGGGAGTGTGAGGATCCGTTTAGCTGAGTAACCCAGCACCACCCATTATCAGCACAGAGAGCAGGAGCCTGGAGCCATGAAACCCTGCGCTGGGCAGGTTTGGACGGGAGGAGACACGAGGGAAGGCGTTCAGTGTGGGGTGGTGAGCACCAAGGAGGCGCAGTGTTACAGCCAGAAGCCTGAGCAGAGGGCAGCACCACAGGCTTGTACAGCTCCACCATCACCGCAGTCTTGCCTCTGTCCACAAGGACTCATCCTTCAGAAAGCACCCCCGTGGGCCCCCTCGAATCCTCCTGCCACTTGCCAGCCCACTGGACAGTCAAGATCGTCCTGGTGGACAGAGATGATATGCTGGACGGTCCTGCAGGCGGGGTGCAATACCCAGCCCTGCCTCCCTGGAACTCAAATATGTGGAGGAAACAACATCCAGCTTGTGGGGCTGCTTGGATGGTGAGCTGGATAGTGCACACAAACAGCCTGGCACCGTTAGCTGCTGGCACATGGCAAGTTCTCAGTGAATGCTATTGGCTACTCTCTGCAGTTATCAATAGGTTTAACATGGGCAGCCTGGGAACAGGCTCGTCTTGGTTTTTATTCACTCGTTTAACAAGCACTTAATGGGCACTCACTCTGTGCCAGGCACTGCGCTGGGAGCCGAGGCCAGAGATGGAAAAGTTCATTTTCCTTAAGTAGCTCCTGGTCCACTGGGGAGGCAGAGGGCAGACAACCCCCATTCCGAGTAAGTATTAGAACGTTTTCCTGGGAACAAGGAGGCTAGTTCATGTTTATTGAGCATGTGCTGTGTGCCAGTTACGATGCACCTGATATGTATCATTATCTCATTTGATCTTTATGAGGTAGGGCTTGACCCTGCCTTTTCCAGAGGGGGTCACTGAGGCTCTGAAAGGCTCTGAAAGGCTATGACTTTAGCCCAAAGGCATGCGACCCACAGGTGGCATGAAGTCTTCACTATTATTTATTATTATAGCAGTCCCTGCTTTTGCATGGTTCTGATATGCATGAACTTCAGCTACCAAGCTTTAAAAAATAGCTCTAGCCATCCCCACTCTCCAACATGGTTCAAATTTCACTGACCACAGTATATTGGGCTTCTCTGGTGGTTCAGATAGTAAAGAATCTGTCAGCAATGCAGAAGGCAAGGGTTCAATCCCTGGATCAGGAAGATCCCCTGGAGAAGGGCATGGCAACCCACTCCAGTATTCTTGCCTGGAGAATTCCATAGAGGAGCCTGGCGGGCTATAGTTCATGGTGTCTCAAAGAGTCAGACACGACTGAGTGACTAACACTTAACATAGCATATTAAGTGTGAGTGATTGCACAAAGTACAAACTTCACTGCTGGCTCTTCAGTCTCCAGATCACTAGGTAAGTAACTGAAGTGCGTCATGGCCCATGACCTATGACGTCACTTCTTACTAGTCTGCTGGGGCGTGGTCGCTGAGCATCTCCCATTCAGCCCACATAGTGACAGCTGAGTATGTAATTGTGATGCCTCCCTGCTCCCAGTGATAACCCATGTGACAGTTCACACAAATAGGTGATAAAAAGAAAGGAATGGCCAACGAAGACGAAAGGGCAGTGCAGGAAAGAAATGAAAAAGCGAAGCTGCAAGTGAGATTTGAATCAAGCTTCAGAGGGGTTTGTCGCTGGAGAACACCAAGGGTGAGGGTTCTTCAGAGAGACAGAAATAATAGGCTATATATTACATACATGGGCTTCCCCGATGGTGCTAGTGGTAAAAGAATCTGCCTGCCAATGTGGAAGATGCAAGAGATGCGGGTTCAATCCCTGGGTTGCGAAGATCCCCTGGAGTAGGAAATGGCACCTCACTCTAGAATTCTTGCTTGGAAATTTCCATGGGCAGGGGAGCCTGGTGGGCTACAGTCCATGGGGCCGCAAAGAGTTGGATGACTGAGTGACTGAGCGTGCACACACACACCAGTTACTATGCACAGATATGATATATTCTAGATAGATACAAAGAAGGATAGATGGAGAGGTGGATGGATGGATAGAAAGATAGGTAGGCAGGTAGATAGAGGAGGCTAGTAAATACAAAATCTGCATGGTAGGCTGGCAAGTTGGAAACACAGTTGAAAATGCAGTTTGAATCTAAAAGCCATCTGGTGGCATAATTCTCTCTTCCTCAAGGAGGTCACTCTTTTTCTATTAAGGCCTTCAACTGATTGGATGAGGCCCACCCACATAAAGGAGAGTAATCTGCTTTACTCAAACCCCACCAGTTTAAATGTTAATTGCATCTGAAAAAATACCTTCACAGAAATATCCAGAATAACGTTTCATCAAATAATCTGGGTACCCTGGCCCAGCCAAATTAATATAAAATTAACCATGAGAGGATTACAGGCTTACAGAAAAAAAACAGACAATCCTGGGACTATTGACACTGTCTCCATGTAAGAGGCTCTAGACCTGCTGCCAGAGGAAGACAGATTTAGTGACATAAATGAGGCAAGTGGCTGTGATGAAAAGGATGAAGACATCCCAAGGAAGTGAAGCCAGCAGGAACTCTGAGATATTTCAAAGCAACAAAGGATAAGATGCTGGAAAAGGATCCAATCTTATAAAGGAAGATGACAATTTGCCAAGGCATGTAAAAGATGCTCCCTCTGTACTATTAAACAACCAGAAGAAGAAGGCAAGCACTGTTCAAACTATTCTTGATCATATTTACACAAGGAAATAACCACACTTCAGTTCCAAATATTTCCAATGGTCTAAATTTAGGTATACTAAATACATGTTGAATACTAGAGTGGGTTGCCATTACCTTCTCCAAGGGATCTTCCTGACCCAGGAATCTAACCTGGGTCTCCTGAATCGCAGGCAGATTCTTTACCTTCTGAGCCACCAGGGAAGCCCCTAAATACATGTTTGTTTTGCTAGTTATTTGTTCATTTCCTTAAACATTTGTAACTGACAATAAGAGAGTATTCAGTGTTTTGGCAAAAAGAATATTAAAGGTCACCGAGTAATCTTTATTTTCTCACATTGATTTTTTTGAAGACCTTTTTGCACAATTTCAACTTGCAGGTTCTTACAGTCTGCACGACCATGCAAAGTAAGGACTGTCTGCTTTATCTGTAGCGTCACTGTGATTATCATCATCAGCTCTACCAGGCAGGTCTGGCAGACATGCCAGGATGCCAGCCCAGGCATCAAGTTCCTTTAACACCTTTTTCTGACTCTGGACAGGGAGCCTCACAAAACCCCAGGCCGGCTCTGGCCAAGGCCGCTCGTCCTCCCTCGGCAGGGGTCTCAGGATTCTCTACAGCCTCAGGCAGTTCCCAAGGAGGAGAATTCGGTTTACACACCAGTAAAAATAACTCAGGGGGTGATAAACAGCCCCGTGTCTCCAGGGCAAGCCGTTCTTACGCAACCTGCCTTGATTTCAAAAGCCCCACATGGCACCGGGAGGCAACTCAGACTGCGATGTATACCCTGGCTGACAGCATGGGGAAGGGACCCCCGTGGCCACAAGATCTGGGGACAAGTGACTTTGGCAGTGATATGGGGGTGGTTCATTCACAACAGAAGGTACACAGAAATAGCACATCGATTGACTGGCTTAAATACTGATATTTCTTTTTACTTTCTATTTTTGGTAAGGTATGTAAGCAGTGGATGGTCTTAGTGTAGAAAACCCAAAACACACATGGGCCAAAAGGGAAAGAAAAAAAAAAAATCAAAACCACTTATGGTCCAGTCACCAGAAAGCCCTGATAGAGTTTTCTAGAAGCTATGTACCAAGTGTGTATGGTGTAGAGTTTCAGACCACAGACTCTGGAGCCACTTTGTAAGTCTGTGCCATGGATGGAGGGCTTCCGGTTTTCTTCCCACTGCAAAAGAAGGCAAGAGGAAGCTGCTTGCGGTTAAGTCTTTGGGTACCTCCTTAATTGTTTCATCAAGATAAATTCTTGGGAGTGCAGCTTCAGTGTCAAAGATTATTCACATTTTGACGGACTTGTTTATCCACTCCCCACCCAGAAAGCTATTTAAAATGGGCTACCTGTGGGCTTCCTCTGTGGTCGAGTGGTAAAGAATCCCCCTGCTAATGCAGGGGACACGGGTTCAAGCCCTGGTCTGGGAAGATTTCACATGCTGCAGAGCAATGAAGCCTGCGAACCGCAACGACTGAGCTTGCCTGCCCTAGAGCTTGTGCTTTACAACAAGAGCAGCCACCGCAATGAGAAGCCCTTGCATTACAAATAGAGAGTAGGCCTCACTCACCACAAGGAGAGAAAGCCTGCACACACACCCGGTGCAACCAAAAATAAATAAATAAATAAATATGTTAAAATGCGCTACCTGGACTTCTGCTGCAGTAGGGGTTGGCAGCCAAACCAACCGTCAGAGAACGGAGGCCCAAAAGGCCGAGTCGCCCATCCAGGGCACACGGTAATCGTCACCATTGGACTGTCAGCCCCACGAGGACAGGAATGGTGTCTGCCCTGCTCACTGTGGTGTCCTTGCTCTCCCAGTGGCTGAAACAACTCAGAAGAAGAGACAGAATGTTTTGGAACCAACCGGAGTCCCGAGGACCCCACGTCATTCTGCTAACCATTTTCTTAGAGATACCATGCTGGATTCTTTGCAGCCTTTGTTAAATTCTATAATGAATAAAATATTAGCCAACACACTTCAAAAGAAAAGGAGGGTGCCAGAAAACCCCCAGAAGGAGAACTCGGGAACAAAGCAAGCCCGCCGTGAGAGGCAAAAATAAATAAATGCATCATCATTATTGTCGTTTGATTGACACATCTTGAATCATTCATGGCGAGCTCCGCCTCTTTCTAATAATATGGAAATCGGGAACATGTTGCTTTCTGTCATGATTATGAGTGAGTTTCAGAGCATGTTCGAAGGTGAGGGAGGGACGGATGTAGGTGGTGACACAGCCATTAAGGTGTGTGTAGATTTCAGCAGGCGATCACTGTGGGCTTCCTGCAGTGTGGTGGCCTCTGATGTCAGTCAGAGAGCGAAATGTCTCCTGTCCTTGTCAAAATGATCATCCTGTCATCCAGTATTTAACAAGTACGCAGTATGCACTAGGCCCTGTGCCAAATGCCCAGGACTCTGCAGGATCCATTCTTCACTTTGCTGGGACAAAATGCTGCATGAACACCTACTCTGTGCTGGATGCCATGCCAATGGAAAGTCAGCGGAAGAGTCTAGAGAGTGACACAGATGCACAAACAAGTAGCCACCTCTCCCACCTAAGTAGGGCTTATTCTTCTAAAACCAGGCTTCCTGGGCATTCACTCCTTTGATTCTTCCAGAAGTCCTAGTGGCCACAGGCCTGAGGATTCTTCTAGTCTCAAACTGATCCAGCTTGGGCTCCTGGCTCTGCCACTTACTGGGAAAAGTGACATACCCTCTTAAGTCTCCTTTTCCTCCTCTGTAAAATGGGGTGCTGCCAGATAAAACACAAGCTGCCTTGTTTGTGTAAGTACATCCCAGGCATTGCATGGGAGGTACTTATACTAAAAATATTCACTGTTCCTTTGGAACTCCAAATGAACTGGGTGCTAGCTGTTTTTGTTTTTTGCTAAATTGTGCAGTCCTGGAAGGGGAGACAGTGATGGTGACCAATGGATGCCTCTCAAGGGCAGTTAACACTCCCAGTTCCTCCTAGATTGGGGGTGGGGGAAGAGGCATATCGTTTCAATAAAGGGATTCTATGCATAGCACCAGTAGCATCCTTGAACAACTTCTCACTCTCCACCCCCAAACCTTCACATCAGGTGGACTCCTGGGTCCAGCAAAGTTGTAGGTAGACATCAATTTGCTGCTAAGAATCACAGACTCTGTCAGCTGAAAAGACCCTTAACGATTGCCAAATCCACCTGTCTGATTTTGCTGAGAGGGTCTGGAGAGGTTGGGTTATTTGCCTAAGGCTGGGGTCACAAACTCCACTGCCAAAGGGGTCAGCCAGGAGAAACAAATGGTGTCCAAGATGACGAGGAGGGTTGGGGAATGTGGCAAACTGGAGAGAAGGGGTCCCTCTAATGAGGCGACAGCAACAGCCTATTTCCCAGAGCCATAAGGGAACGGGTGCTCAGAGTGATGAACGCCTCTAAAATTCTCCAGAGTGCTCGCTTCAGCAGTGCATATACTAAAATTCTCCTGAGGAGCTGGAAATATGCATGTCTGTTTCATGTGAAATCTCTTGGTTTTGAAATGTTGGCACCTATTGGAAATTCTTAAGAACACTGGAAGGGCCAAGGAAAATATGTCAGCAGGCCAAACTGGGCCCTGGGGTCACCACGTGCAATCTCTGGCCTATGGCCCCAGGGGACATGGGAAGCACAGCCAGGCTTCCTGGGCCAAGGTCATTTTTATCACGTCAGCAAAAGGCCATGACTCAAGAAGAGGGAGACAGGAGTAGAAATACTGGAGGAATGGCCGGCAGCTCCTACCCAGAGCCTCCAGTGTGAGTTAGAGTGGGAAATATCAGGCACCAGTGTTATTTTGTTTTAATTGAGATGGAATTCACAGAACATAAAATGAACAATTGTTAAGTGTTCAGTTCAATGGTATTAAGTGCATTCAAAAGGTTGTGCAACCAACCTGATCTAGTTTTGAAATGTTTTGATCAACCCCAAAAGGAAATTCTGCACCTGTTAAGGGGTCACGCCCTCCCCATCATCCCCGCACCCCCAGCCTCTGGCAACCACTACTCTGCTCTCTATCTCTGTGGATTTACCGACTCTGGGCATTTAGGATGGATGGACTCCTACAACATGAGGCCTCTGGAGACTGGCTCCTTTCGCTGAGCATCAAGCCTTCAAAGCTCTTCTATGTTGTAAGGTGTCAGTGCTCCATTCCTTTTTATGGCTGAATGGTATTTCATTGTCTGGATGGACCACATTTTGCTTATCTCCCTGTTGATAGCTAACTGGGTATTTTCACCTTTCAGGTGTGGTGAACAATCTCAAGGCTCACTTTTTGAGGGGAAGTAACCCCACGCTGGTGTTCAGGGACACAGAGCCCCAGTGGACCCACTGTGTGCAGCAGCACAATGTCTAGGACCCACGAAAATGTCTTCATTTCTTTGAAAATCAGAAGCAAAAAAACCTGACTTTAGGAGTTGACGACAATGTTTTACTTTTGAATTTGGCCTGGATTATATTTGTCTTTATACCAAAGCAGGCATAAAATATAATTATGGAGGAAGGAACCCACAAAGGCAAAAGTGACTAAGGCACTCAAAAGTGGTCCTGCAGGGACACAGAACAATTAAGGACCTGGAATTAGAGAAACCGGAGGGGACCCCTCGTTCTCCTCCAACTCGCCAGCCTTGTGGGTGTGCGCCCAAGGGCCAGGCTCTTTGTCCTGTCCAAATGTGGCATTCCTCACTGCCAAGACAGGGCCTGGCACCCAGTAGGTACTCACTAAATACTTTTTGAAAGGATTCATTAACCTAACACGAGTTACCAAGTTCTCTGCTCCTTGATTTCCTCGTCTGAAACATGGGAAAAATAATCTGGATCTCTGAGGGTGGCTGAGAGGGTGAGAAGGCTGTGCCCAGTGCCAGGAAGGGAGAAGGCCTTAAAGAATCCACTTCCTTCCCTTTGTTTTTTCTGGCAGGGTGGGGGCAGGGTGAAGTTGATAGCCGACTTACAAGAAGCAAGTCTCCAACAAACCCGAGGTGCATTTGCTCTTGTCTCTCTGAGCAAATATATCAGGTATTTCGACATCTTGGCTGAAGATCCCAGGGTCTTGGGAGCGGGGGTGATTAGCAGGCAAAACCACAAAGAAAACGTCGAGGAAAATGATGCCAGAGAGAAACAAGTACTGACAGGGAAGGGCTAGTGAGGGAGTGAGTGAGTGTGTGTGTATGTGAGTGTCTGTAAATGGATGTGTGTCTGTGTGAGAACTGTGTGTGCTTGTGAGCGCACACGTGTGCCTGTGTACGCAAGCACATGTGTGTACACACATGGTGGGAAGAGGCAGTGGCAGGGAAGGGGAGGGAGGGAGAGAATAGCCCTGTGATCACAGACACGGGAATTCTGCTTTGACTTGAGGTTGAGGCTGCACATTCCTGGGGCAGGCCTCCGGTGGGGTCTGAGAGCGGGAAATGACCATATCTGGTGTTTTGTCTTGATGAGAGGAAATTCTTTGCCCAGGGCAACAGCCCCCCTGGGGTGTGCCTTCCTCTGTGGGTGACTGGGAACTCAGAAGCCAGAGCTCGGGATCCTCTTCAAACCCAATTTGCATGAGAAATCAATGTGGTTTTATTTTGTTGTTGTTGTTCTTTTTCTTCAGGCCCTGAGATGCCAAGATCCTCAAGCAAATAATAATGATGCTTTTCAGACCAGGACTTCAAACCGCTTAGCTGTGATTAGCCTTCTTTCTAAACACAGGAAAACTGGGGTGATGTGAAGGAGTCCACTGACAGGTCAAAGGGAGGCTCAAGGAAGCCTTGGCCCCACGCTGGGCCCCACTTACCTGGGGGCAAGGAGGCCCTGCTGGCTTCTGGACAGAAGTGAACTGAGTCTCTTATTGATGTCTCCAGGGCCAAGTCCTGTGAGCCAAGGAGGAGGCAGGTTGCAAGATCAGTTCTGGAAGGCTCGTCTATAGTCAGCTTTGTCCAGAGGCATCCGTGTATCAAGGAGTAAGAGAGGCGGCTTACTGGTTGGAATAAGATTTGAGTCCTGTGACAGGAACCTCAGTTTTCTCATCTGTGAAATGGGGATAGTGCCCTTTGGCACAGGGTTCATTAAAGACTAATTAGAAGTGGCACAGTGTAGCACAGTATATGGCACATACCCAAGCAGTAGTAATCATAAGAGTCATAATCCCACCATCATCATCATCACCTCCCTGTGAAAAGACTACTTCCCAAGCAATGGAGATCCCAAGAATCTCAAAGATCTGAGGGGGCGAAGAAAACTCACCCCACACTCCTGGACCCTCCAGGCCACTGCAGCTAAGGGAGGAGAGCAACTCCATAGAAACAGTGACAAGATTTCCTGGTAAGAGCTCACTGTCTCCTAGATTCCTGGGGAGCCTTGGAGATGTGGGCGGAAGAGGTTCTGAGAACCCCTGTATCAAGAATGTCTGACTTCAATATAGAACTTTTAAAAAAATTAATTAATTACTGGTTTGGGGGTCGGGTTTTGGCCACACCACAATGGCTTGTGAGATTTTAGTTTCTCAGCCAGGGATCGAAGCTGGGCCCTCAGCAGTGAAAGCTCAGAGTCCTAACCACTGGACTGCCAGGGAATTTCCAAGATGGAAATTTCAAAAATTTACTCTCTAAAGGATCTGGACTAAGACTGTGTGTCTGCAGACCCCGACATTGATGATCGGCTTGATGGGAGCAGGTATCCTGGAAAGGAACTGAGTTTGGAGGGAAACCCAGAGTTCTATAAACCTGAGTTCCAATACCCCCTCTGCTGAATCTCAGCTGTGTGGGCCTGAATAAATGATGTTGCAGTAATACATTCTCTTGAGATGACAAATATCAGGCTGTAGGCCTATAGTAAGAGGCCCAAAATGGCAGCTCTGTTGGTTGAATCAATGCAATCAGTAAATAGACTGGTTTGACATGATTGAAATGATAATGGTGAGTCACGGGGTTGTTCAGTCCTCAGATGCTTACAAAGAACCACCTATGTGCCACATCCTGGGAAACAGGACTGGGCCACTGTCTAGGAGAGGATTCCAGGAATGGTGGTAACGGATGTAGTCTGTTCACCATGTCCAAGCAGAGGCTGACATATCCCTCTCTGGTGCTTCCCTGGTAAGATGGGCCTCTGGGGAGAGCAGACCCAACTCCAGAGTCTTAGAACTCCTGTGGTGGTCCCCAGAGACACGGGGTGACAGGGGAGGGCTTTCTGAGCCCAGATGAACAAATAAGAATAGAAGAAAAACCTTGCTGAGTTGTCAAGTTGGGAGGGTGTCCCTGACAGTTAACCTAGTCTTGGAAGACTGAGGTGCAGCCTGGTTCCTCGGGAGCCTCTCTGAGGTAAGATGACTCACCCAGCATCACACCAGATTAGCACAAGGGCCTCTGGGACACCAGCTACCAGTTAAGAAGTCCCCAGGGGGCTGTTTCCTGACAGAAATGGGCCTCCCTGCTCTTACATTCAACCTGCAGCTGCAGAGGCCCACAGGATTGCTTGAGGAAGGTTTCTGAGGAAAAGGAAGGAGGAAGGGAAGGGGCTGGTCATTTTGGCCTTGGGTCTCTGGGCCCACTAAAGGTTCTCATGGGTTTCTCTCTGGTCAGGGGTCAGGAAGCAGCCTGGTCCTACAGCTCCCTAGGTGTGGTCCTGGCAGAGAGGAGATGAGCAGGGATGAAGTCAGGACAGTGGAGGACAGGGGGTGGGGGCGGCCTTCCCCGCCTCTCCCAGTAAGGATGTGTCTTCTGACAGGAAGCTGCCCAGGACATGGTATCTGGCTGGAGCCGTGGTCTAACAGCTGTGTGGGCATTATAAATCTCTCTCTTGGAGATGAGACTCCGAGGCTCTCGATGGATCCTGCTAATGGTAAATCTGTCAGTGCCCACAGCACGAGACCTGGACTCAGAGCATCAAGGTGAGACTGTCTGCTTCCCTCAAGCCTGTTCATTGCACCTGCTGTCTATTTCTCTCCAAACGTGGAGGGCTGTCACCTTCTTCACTGAAAGCGTCAAGGGAGTTTTAACTGCAAGGTAGACTGTGCTTCAGGTCCAACTGAAATGCCTCTGAAGCCAAAGTTTCACCTGAAAACTTTCTGCCAGAAGGGACCCTTCTTCTGCAAGACCCTGGGTGATTTGGATGAGTTTAGGCCAGACAGTGTCCCTTGGGTATTGTGGAGGTTTGTGTGGTTTTTATTGTTTGCTTTTTTGGTGCAGCCTAGCTTTAAAACTTCACTTAAAAAAAAAAAAAGTGGTCATTACCCTTATTTTGATTTAGAGGATGGGAAATCAAAAGTTCAGACCCCTAATTTATCACCTCATAGATGTATGACTTTGAACAATCCCTTCATCTCTCTTAGACTGCTCATTGTAGAAAGACAATGATAAAGTCTTATCAGTTAGATACAAGGGTGAAATGAGATACTCCATCAATCAGAGCTTTAGTTGGAAACATCCAGTGTTACTGCTGATAAATCAGCTCCTTGAGAAACAAAAAGCTCTGATTTGTAGCACTTGCCAATTTCCATAGTGTAAACACTCCCATCACTGACACTTGCAAGCTACCAACGTGACACTGCTGAAAAAAGAGCTGGGAAGAGGAGTGAACCATTGGTCCTTCTGCACTGAGCGGAGGCCCCTTAGTGCAGCCCTGAAGACAACAGACACAAACTCTGGCTAATTGTATCACAAAATAAATGAGTCCCGAGGATAGGGGATAGCTTGCAGAATTTCCAGTTGGTGAATTAAGCCTGGAGCTTGTGCAGGCATAAGTTACATCCTAAATTACCCACAAAGCCATCCAGTAATGATGTTGCTACTGTCCTCTCTGGCACAGATACAATAACATGCCCTGTCATCACTAACAATTCTGGACACTGGCCAATGCCATGAAAACTGCAGCCACTGGTAGCCCTGAAAATACCATGGTGCTGTGCTGTGCTGTGCTGTGCTTATTCACTCAGCCATGTCCGACTCTTTGCAACCCCACAGACTGCAGCCCGCCAGACTCCTCTGTCCATGGGATTCTCCCAGCAAGAATACTGGAGTGGGTTGCCATGCTCTCCTCCAGGGGATCTTCCAGACCCAGGGATTGAACCTGGGTCTCCCACATTGCAGGGAGATTCTTTACCATCTGAGCCACCAGGGAAACCCTGAAATACCATAGAGCTGCCCCTAATGCCATCCTTGCCAGCATGAGAAGGCCCTGGGAGAAGTGTGGCCCCTGCTTCCTCCCACCATTAGCTTCCATTTAACGCAGGAAGGTGCATCTGATTGGTAGAGTCAAGTCGTTTGTCTCTGCTTAGCTGCAAGGGAAGCTGGGAAAGTGAGTTTATTAGTTTCCTGTGGCTCTCTAACAAATAACCAGCAATCAGGTGGAAGTTTGTTCTCTCAGAGTTCTGTGGACTTGAAGTCCAAATTCCAGGGGTTTGCAGGGCTTCCCTTCCTCTGGAGTTTCTAGGGGAGAATTCTTCCCTGCCTCTTCTGACTTCTGGGGGCTGTTACCATTCCTTGTGGCTACATCACTCCAGTCTCTGCTCCTGTCTTCACATGGCCTTTCCCACTTTTCTCTCTGTGTCTCCCCTCTGCGTGTCTCTTTATAAGGATATCTGCCATTGGATTTAGGGCCCATTTGGATAATCTGGGAAGACATCATCTCAAGATCCTTAACTTAAGTGCTTTTGCAAAGACCCTCTTATCAAATCAGATCAGATTCACAGATTCTGGAGGTTTAGGGTGTGGACATATCTTTGGGGATCACTATTCAACCCACTGCAGTGAGTATCTGTGTTTTCAGGTTCTCTGGCAGACAGTGAACCCTACCTCATTAGATGGGAGATTCTTTAATATAAGATGGGGGTTCACAGACTGGGCAGTCAGAAAATCGTCCATTATCTTCTAGAACAGGGGTCACAGCATTTTTTCAGTAAAGAGTCAGAGGGTAAATATTTTCAGCCTTGAGGGTCATATGGTTAACTACTCAACTCTGCCCTTATGGCATGGAAACAGCCACAGACATTCTGTAAACAAATGGGGGTGGCTGTGTTCCAATAAAACTTTATTTACAAAAACAAGTGTCTGTTTAGATTTGGCCCAAGGGCTATAGATTGCTGACCCCTGTTCTAGAACATGAAGGAGTACTTAGGAGATATTGACTGAGTCTTCAATCCTCAGAATGTTTGAAATGTACTGAATATGAAGGACAGAGCCAGGACAGAAATTAATAAACACCTAAAATGTATCACTAATGTTCTGTGACCCACACTTTTGAATATGCAAGGGTGAAGAGCTGTAGTATCTAATTGAAAAAAAAAAAAAATCCAGTTTTACCTGTTTCAGAGCCTAATACTAAATATGGGCCACATTTTGATCCTGGTTTCATACCTAGTAACAGCATCCCTGACCCAACCAGAGACCAGGGAGGAGTGTGGAGGATTTACACAAATGAACCCTAGCAGAGGAGCACTGGAGGCAGGAGCCTAGCACTTTCTGCTGGCGAAAGAGAAGAGCCGTGAATGCCTCCACAAAGGGTGAATCACATGAAATCCAGATTTCTACCTCTAAGATGGTAGAACAGCACAAAAAACAGTATCTGAAGGGCAAAATGGCAAGGCTGGTGCTTATGGTAAAAAGACAAAACAAAACAGTTTGGCTTTGAAGGCAAACAGACCCGGGTCCTTATCTCAGCTCCTCAGTCACCCAGTACAGCCCCTGAGTAGGTAGGTCTCTTTACCTCTCCAAGCCTCAGTTTCCTCATCTGTAAGATGGGAAAAGTTAGATCCATCCCACCCAATGGTTACAAGGATTGAAGAAGACAATTTTCATAAAATACTGTAGCACCCAATGAACGCTCAGTAACTAACACTCGGCAAATTCCTGACAAGTCTGGAAATTAGAAATGGATTTTCAAAGTCTGCACACCAGAACATATATGGCGAAGAAAGCATACTCCTTCAAAGGAGGCCCCCGGGAAGCCCGACCCTTGACCAGCCAGCCCGCCTGGGGAACAGCAGCCCTGGCAGGGTATTTCAGGAACTGGATGCTGATGAGCCTTCGGCGCCTCAACAATTTGTCCTGGCTTTCCTCAGCGGCCAGCAGGCCCTCACTCTTGGAGAGTGGACTGCTTTCTGGATGGAGCCCAAGGTTAAATGGAGCCAGGTCTGATGAACAAGGTAGGAGATGAAGCTGGCTGGGATCACTTTGGATGAGAAAAGATCTTGATTGCAAAATAATGAGCAGGGGTGACTTGGAGCCTTTCTCTGAAGGAAATCCCCAGAGAGGAGTTCCAAAAGGGCTATAAGCATTGGGAGCTTTCCTGGAATAAGTGAGTAAGTCCCTGGAGGGGTGGCTATGGCAGGGGAAACACTTGTTTGGAAGGTCAAGTACTGGGGTATTGGGAGGGGGGGTGTCTCTGAATGTTACAGTTGTATCACTTAAGATTCATTCATTCAAAATTTGATAAGCAGTAGGGGCTCCCCTGGTGGCTCAGATGGTAAAGAATCTGCCTGCAATGCAGGAGACCCGGGTTCAATCCCTGGGTTGGGAAGATCCTTTGGAGAAGGGAATGGCAACCCACTCCAGTATTCTTGCCTGGAAAATCCCATGGACAGAGGAGCCTGACGGGCTACCGCAGGATGCGACTGAGTCACTAACACACTCTAAGGCTAAGGCCCTGTCCTAGGCACTGGGTGTGGTGATGATATGCTTTCCTCCTTACCCTCAGATTTGTAGCCACAAACAGACATTATTGAACTTCTGCGCTGTGCTGTGCTGTGCTTAGTTGCTCAGTCGTGTCTGACTCTTTGTGACTCCATGGACTGTAGCCTGCCAGGCTTCTCTGTGCATGGGCATTCTCCAGGCAATGCCACTGTGATCTTTGCAAACCGTCCCTCTGGAGTTGTGCAGTATACAACCTGTAGAAAGGTACATGGCAGTCTTGCTTGAATGGAAGAAAAAAACAAGGGTGTGAGTTATATGTGTAGGCTCAGGGAGACACTTAGTCTGGATCATTGAGAAGGTGGAGTTTTCAAGGGAAAAGGGGTGGGGAAAGGGAAAATCAGACTCAGGGACATAATGTACTAAAGCTCCAGGAGGAGGGCAAGGTGGGTTCTGAGAACGCTGAGACATCTGGTGGATCTGGGGAGGAGGCAGGCCAGCAGGCTGGGGGCATGGAGGTTGAGGGGACTGACTTCCTGCACGTGAGTCAAGATCCCCCAGGAGCTTCTGGAGGAGCCAGAGAGGCCCTTGAATGTCAGACATTCCATTCCTCTGAGTCGGCCTCTGCTGGAGGGGAAGATGCGACGAAGCACACTGGCCTTCCTAAGCGTGGCATAGATCAGGTCTGGATACCAGCTCTGAAGCCTTATAGGCTGTGTGTTCTCCAGTCAGTCACTTAACCTCTCTGGGCAGGAGTTTCCTAATCTGCAAAATGGAGGTCACAGTCACAGTAATGCTGGGGGTTGGGAAATTTGGCAAGATTCAGAGATGCAACAGGTGCTGTAAACGTTCTTATCTTTCCTTTCCAAGTTGTGGTCTCAGTTAACCTTTGTTTAGGGACGGAAACTGATACTTAGGGTGCTGACAGCACCAGCCCGCTGTAGGCTGAGCAGGTAGGAGATTATTCTCTTTCAGAAAGTCACCCTAGATAGTCGGCCCAAGTCTCCACATTTCCTTCATTAACATGAGCATTAGAGAGCACTTGCTCTCTGTTCCGCAGGCCCTTGCTCCTCTGTGATTTTTTTTTAATGCAAATCTGCCCCTTTGAGTCCCCAGTGCCTGGGGGTAAGTGACTTTTATCAGTGTTCCATCTACCCTAGAGTAGAAGGGTGGGGCCCAGAGAAAGGAGGGTTGCACCTCTGAAATGGAGAAGGTGGGGGTTGCTTCCCCCATCCCCACTCCAGAAAGAGCAAGGAAGCTCCTGGGATTGGAATATGGAAGGAAGAGGGGAAAGAGCTCTAAGGGCATATAAAATGCCTCCTCCATCCACACCCCCTCCCTGCATGGTCTGTGTGGGGTGACTTGTGTGGAGTCCAACAGACACTCTGCATGCCCTGGGTCGGCTCTGTGTGCTGGGCTGGGATTGTAAACACCAGAGAGCCCCAGGGACTTACTGTCTGGCTGGGAAAACATCATCAACAGGTAAGTAAGGCATGGAGGCCAAGGTGATGTTGCAACAGTAACTATGATGGCTAGAGCTTCCCAGGTGGCTTAGTGGTAAAGAATTTGCCTGCCAATGCAGGAGACATGGGTTTGATCCCTGGGTTGGGAAGATTCTCTAGAGGAGGAAATGGTAACAAACTCCAGTATTCTTGCCTGGGAAATCCCATGGACAGAGGAGCCTGGTAGGCTACAGTTGCAGAGTGAGACACAACTTAGCAACTAAACAACAATAAATTGTGATGGTTACCTGTTACTGAGAATTTACTGAGCCTGGCCTTGTGCTAAGAACCTTGCTACATATTATCTCCACCTTGAGGTGGCTATTAGTAACAACTTTTTGCAAAAGAGGAAACTGAGTCTCCCAAGGTCAGAAAGCTGGCAGGTGGCAAGGACTAAAAAAACCTAAGTTCTCCACTGCTGTGTTATTTGGCCTAAACTGGAAAATCAGCCCACCTGTCTGAGTTCAAGTAGGGATTTCCCTCTATTACCTTTCATTGCCTTTCATTGTAACATTTTGGAAACAGAACCCTATTTTGTTTTGAGAGTGTTTATTGTCTCATTCAGTGAAGACAGCATCAGAAACCCTCAGGGGTCCCCTCTTAACCACAGGATTCTTCCCAAGACACCCTCCCCACTGCATTGTCTCCCCTCTTTGTGTGGGTGGGTCTAACAATGGAAAGAGAGAATTTGAAATCAGAAATACTGCAACATAAAAGTATGTATGAAATAAAGCCTCCTGTTAGGTGCAAAACGTAGAAGCATGCAAATTTCTGCAGTTAAAAAAAAAAAAAGACATCAGTAATTGCATCATTTCAAAACCGAGTGGCTCGAGTAAAATTTAAACGGTGGCGCACAGTTGCCATGTGTTAGAGACGTTTTAATGGATATAAACAGACAGGCTTACCACCCCTTTCAGGGCTATGCTTGGATTAGTTGAGGTTTTCATTATGTAAAGATCTTCAAGAATACATTCCTTTTAAATCTGTGACCTCCCTCATGACTATTGTGTTTGTGTATAAAAATATGTAACCCATATAAATTATGGGTCCCCATATGGCTCCTTCTATGACTTAGTTGCATGAGAAGAACTGCCGTCTAGCTATCAAACAGTAATCAAATCCTTACTGTATAGAGTCCAAACCCCATGGCAACACTGAATACAAGCTGTCCCCTCCTTCCCCCATTTTTGCATCCCCCATTCCAAACTTCTAAACTCCCGACAGCTTGTCCTTTCTCATTGTCCCAGCTCTTAGATATGTAAATGAAATTAGTTTCTCTACCAAGTCCTCTCCACCCTCCTCATTTGTCCCATGTCTCCATTGGATGGAGGTTCTGCTGAGTCTCCAGGTTCAGGTCTTAGAACTGGGCTGACAAACACTCTTAGGGGAAAGAGGGAAGGAGGTGGAAATACCAGTGCTGGTAGGTTGTAGATTCTAGGAATGATTACCCCTCAGTCTTACCTCTGCACTCTCCCCTGGGCCTCACCACACCCTGCTGACTCCTGGGTAGGGGTAATTCCCCAAATACACCCACTGCCCATCTTAGGCTGCCCCTCTGCCTGAATTGCCCATCCACTCCATCCTTAGGAGTCCACTCTTACATGGTTTCTTCTGTGACCCATCCCCAGCACCCCTCACTCCACCCCAACTCCACCCCTACCCCAGGCACACTCAGCGCCCCTTTCCTCTGGATTCCACCCTTGACACACCTACATTCTTGACAACCACCTGCAATGGTTTGTTTACAGGTCGGTTTTATCTCTAGATGGTGACCTCCCAGAGAGCAAGGACTAACTCATTTTCATGCCTCCATCCTCAGCACTGAGCCCTGCAGACATAGTAGATGCTCCATAGATGTTGTTGTTTACTTGCTAAGTAGTGTCTGACTCTTTTCCACCCCATGGACTACAGCACACAAGGCTCTTCTGTCCTCCACTACTCCCCAGAGTCTGGTCAAATTCACGTCCATTGAGTCAGTGATGCTATCTAACCATCTCATCCTCTGTCAGCCTCTTCTCCTTTTGCCTTCAGTCTTTCCTATCATCAGGGTTTTTTCCAACGAGCTGGCTCTTCCCATCAGGTGGCCGAAGTATTCGAGCTTCAGCTTCAGCATCAGTCCTTCCAATGAATATTGGTTGATTTCCTTTAGGATTGACCGGTTTGATCTCCTTATAGTCCAAGGGACTCTCAACAGTCTTCTCCAGCACCACAGTTTGAAAGCATCAATTCTTTGGCGCTCAGCCTTCTTTATGGTCCAACTCTCAAATCCATATGTGACTACTGGAAAACCATAGCTTTGACTATATGGACTTTTGTCGGCAAAGTGCTGTCTCTGCTTTTTAATACGCTGTCTAGGTCTGTCATAGCTCTTCTTCAAAGGAGCAAGTCTTTTAATTTCATGGCTTCAATCAGCATCCGCAGTGATTTTGGAGTCCAAGAAAATAAAATCTGTCTCTGTTTCCACATTTCCCCCTTCTATTTGCCATTAAGTGATGAGACTGGATGACATGCTCTTAGTTTTTTGAATGTTGAGTTTCAAGCCAGCCTTTTGACTCTCCTCTTCACCCTCATCAAGAGGCTCTTTAGTTTCTCTTCACTTTCTGCCATTAGAGTGATATCATCTGCATATCTGAGGTTGTTGCTATTTCTCCCAGCAATCTTGATTCCAGCCTGTGATTCATCCAGCCCAGTATTTTGCATGATGTACTCTGCATAGAAGTTAAATAAGCAGGGTGACAATATACAGCCTTGACTACTCCTTTCCCAATTTTAAACCAGTTCATTATTTCATGTAAGTTTCTAACTGTTGCTTCTTGGCCTGTATACAGGAGATATAGGAGACAGGTGAGGAGGTGTGGTACTCCCATCTCTATAAAAATTTTCCACAATTTGTTGTGATACACAGTCAAGGCTTTAGCGTAGTCAATGAAGGAGATGTTTTTCTGGAATTCACTTGTTTTCTCCATGATCCAACAAACGTTCGCAATTTGATCTCTGGTTCTTCTGCCTTTTCTAAAGCTAGCTTGCACATCTGGAAGTTCTCAATTTGCATATTGCTGAAGCCTAACCAAAGGATTTTGAGCATATCCTTGTTAGCATACGAAATGAGCACAACTGCATGGCAGTTTGAACATTCTTTGGCATTGCCCTTCTTTGGGACTGAAATGAAAACTGGCCTTTTCCAGTACTGCAGCCACTGCTGAGTTTTCCAAATTTGCTGACATATTGAGTGCAGCACTTTAACAGTATCATCTTTTAGAATTTGAAATAGCTCAGCTAGAATTCTGTCACCTCCTCTAACTTTGGTCATGGTGATGCTACCTAAGGCACATTTGATTTCACACTCCAGTATGTCTGGCTCAAGGTGAGTGACCACATCATCATGGTTATCTGGGTTATTAAGACCTTTCTTGTATGGTTCTTCTCTGTATTCTTGCTACCTCTTCTTAATGTGCTCATCCTTGCATGAAATGTTCTGTTGATATCTTCAATTTGGTTGAAGAGATCTCTAGTCTTTCCCATCCTATTGTTTTCCTCTCTGTCTTTGCATTGCTCATTGCAGAAATCCTTCTTATCTCTTCTTTCTATTCTCTGGAATTCTTCATTCAGTTGGGTATATCTTTCCCTTTCTCCTTTGCCTTTTGCTTCTTTTCTTCCCTCAGCTATTTGTAAAGCTTCATAGACAACCACTTTGCCTTCCTGCATCTCTTTTTCTTGGGAATGGTTTTGGTCACTGCCTCCTATACAATGTTATGAACTTCTGTCGGTAGTTCTTCAGGCAATCTGTCCACCAGATCTAATCCCTTGAATCTATTCATCACCTCTACTGTATAATCAAAAGGGATTTGATTTAGGTCATACTTGAATGACCTAGTGGTTTTCCCTACTTTCTTCAATTTACACCTGAATTTTGTAATATAATATATATATAATCTGAGCCACAATCAGCTCACAGTCTTGTTTTTGCTGACTGTATAGAGCTTCTCCATCTTCGACTGCAAAGAACATAAATCTGATTTCAGTACTGACCATCTGGTAATGGCCACGTGCAGAATCACCTCTTGGGTTGTTGGAAAGGGGTGTTTGCTATGACCAGTGTGTTCTCCTAACAAAACTCTGTTAGCCTTTGCCCTGCTTCATTTTGTACTCCAAGGCCAAACTTGCCTGTTATTCTAGGCATCTCTTGACTTCCTACTTTTGTATTCTAATCCCCTGTGATGAAAAGAACATCTTTTTTATTTTTTGGTGTTGTTGGTCTTCATAGAACTGATCAACTTCAGGTTCTTTGGCATCAGTGGTTGGGGCATAGACTTGGATTACTGTGATGTTGAATGGTTTGCCTTGGAAATGAACTGAGATCATTCTGTCATTTATGACATTGCACCCAAGTATTGCATTTTGGACTCTCTTGTTGACTCTAAGGGCTACTCCATTTCTTCTAAGGGATTGTTGCCCCTAGTAGTGATATAACGGTTATCTAAAATTCACTCCACAGATATCACTGTGTAACAGAAAGGCTTTCGGAATTCCACAGACTTGAAAAGGAGAGTGAAAAGGAAACAACCCAAGCACGGGGACTGACGCTCCTCTGGGAAAGGCACGGCACAGGCTGACTGCCCAGTTCCTCATTGGGCACTATCCCGTACATTCTGGGTGAGGAAGCAGGGACCCTTGGTGTGCTCCATCCCCAAAGACAGCTGAGCAAACAAACCCCATCTCACTTGCTCTTTTGCAGTTTGGCGGTGCCCCTGCTCACATCCAAAGGCAGGGTCATCTCCCCTCTGCTTCAGTCAGGGCTGGTCTCAGGACAGAATGCAGCAGAAGTGAGGCAGGTCAACATCCAGACCTCAGCCCTATGAAGTCTTTCAGCTTCACTGTTCACCACATCAAGAAGCTCAAGCTATCCAGCTGAAAAGGCCACACAGAGGAAAACCAAGCACCCGGGCAGACAGCCAACACCAACTACCAGACAGGAGAGGGAGGACAACTTGGATCTTTTAGACCCAGCCATGCTCCCAGGAGAGCGTAGCCACATAAGGTGAAGAACTACCCAGCAGGGCCCCTCCTGAATTCCTGACCCACAGAATCATAAGCAATAGTATAGCCGTTGTTAACATTTAAAGCAGCTGTGTCTCAGGATGGTTTGTTATGCAGCAGTAGATAACTTATACATTAACATTTTTCTGAATGGGCAAAAAAATTAGTGGTACAGATTTCTGTGACTTCTGAGTTGGGAGCTAGAGAGGGTGTGACTAGAATTCAAGCTTTGCTATCTGTATGTGCTTGTTTGCTTGCTTTTTAGCTTTAAAATATGGAAGGGTCCCTTAACCCAGTGATCACAGTCAGCATCACCAGAGTGGGGCAAATTGATTAAGATGCATTGGGAAGAATGCAGGACATGTCTATGATCATCCAGCCAAAAGTGTAACACCTGAAAATAATCACAAAGAAATATCTGACAAACCCAAACTGAGGGGGCATTCTATAACATAACTGACCACTTCTCTTAAAAATTATCAATGTCTTGGGACTTCCCTGGTGGTCCAGTGGCCGAGACTCCATCCTCCCAATGCAGAGGACCCAGGGTTGATCCCTGAACAGGGAATAAGGGCTTTCCTGGTGGCTCAAATGGTAAAGAATCTGCCTGCAATGCAGGAGACCCTAGTTTGATCCCTGGGTTGGAAATATCCTCTGGAGAAGGGAATGGCAACCCACTCCAGTATTCTTGCCTGGAGAATCCCACAGACAGAGGAGCCTGGCAGGCTGCAGTGCATGGAGTGGCAAAGAGCTGGACACAACTGAACAGTAACACTTTCAGTTTCTTTCAGGGAACCAGATCCCACATGCTGCAACTTAAAATTCCACATGCTGCAACTAAGACCCATCGCAGCCAAATAAATAAATATTACAAGAAAATCATCAATGCCTTGAAAGAACAAAAAAAGACTGAGGAACACTTGCAGATTAAAAGAGGCTGAGAGATATGAACTGAATGCCATATGGGGTCCAGAGTTTCCTTGTGTTATAAAGGACATTGCTGGGACAAATGGCAAGATCCCTGTAAAGTCTGTGATTAGATAAGAATGCTGTTTTGGTGTTCATTCCCTGATTTTGGTAATTATATTGTAAGATATCATATTGTAAGAGAATGTCATCTGTTTTTAGGCAATACACGCTGAAGTATTTAGAGGTAAAAGAAGTATTATGTCTGCAGCTTACTGTGAAACAGTTCTAAAAAAAAAAAAAACCACATCTTCCTCTTCTATGTATATCTATCTAGAGAGAAATGGAAAAGAATAAGGCAAATGTGATAAAGTGTTTACATTTGGGGAATCCAGGTGAAGGGTGTGCGGGAATTCTTTGTACTGTCCTTGCAGCTTTTTTGTAAGTCCGAAATCGTATTTAGATAAAAAGTAATGAAAAAGAAAGAAGCAGATTGCAGTGGGTGCGTGGCTGCCCCCCACAAGAGGAAAAACTGACCTGCAGTAGGGGAGGGACTGTCCCTGGAAACGCCTGCCTCAGCTGATTTAGGCCCTGTTCCCGTCTTCCTCTGGGGGCTCGCAGGCCTGCCCTGCCCCACGGCCACAGCTAAACTCACCGTCCACCTCACCCACACCTGGGCTTCTCTGAAGGCCAGGCTGGGTGTGGACAGGTCACGAGCCCCAAGGGGGCGGTCATGGAGAGTTTTCCCTGGGAACCCTCGGCTGCGGAGACACAGCTCCACCCCCCTTGCACATCTGGGTTTGGGGGACTCTATTCAGAGCCACAGAGCAGAGGACCATGGAGGTGAGGGGTCTACAGCGGTCCCCCGTCTGTCAGTAAGCATTGTGAAGAGTACATACCTCGGGCGGTCTCGCTGTTTCACCTGCCTGGGTCAGGCAGGGCTGAGAGGAGGGGGTCTTTATGGCCCAGAGGAAGGGCAGTGTGGGAGGCATTCACAGGATCTGGGCCGACCAAGCCTCCCAGGCTGAGCAGTGCCAACCGGGCATGTTTCTGGGCAGAGTTTCCTTCCGGAGGGGAGCTGGCTGGGCAGGAAAGAGCCAGGAGTTTGGGATCCAAGAGAAGTGAGAGGGCAGACTCTGACTCGCCCCTTCCTGGCTGGGTGACGCTGGCCCAGAGACATCTCCTGGCACTGGGTGAGGGCCCTCATCTGCAAGGGAAATCATCAAACACACCCTGAGATGTGAATCAAGTGGTAAGACAGTGTCCAGCACAAAGGAGGGTCCATGCTTCGATTCTATTCATGTTTAAGGAGCATGGGCTCACAGCCAGGCACAGCCGGGATGTCCTGTGTGCCCCCCAGACCGCTGAGAGTGGACTCAAGGCCTTCCCCTCTTGCTTCTTCATCCTGATCTTCCCCCTCTTCTGTGCCAACATCACCACCAAAGCCCAGGTGCTAGAGCATTTGGGTTCAAATGTGAGACTTGCCTCGGAGTGACTGAGGTTCAGTTATCTAACCTGTGTGTGCCTCGGTTTCCCTACATGGAACTGAGTATAGTAATAGCATCCACCCCCTAGATTGTTCTGGAGATCAACTAAATTCATCCTTGCAAATAACAGTGAATGCTTGCATAGTGGTTACTACATGCCAGGCACAGATATTCACTTTTAATCAGTGTTATCCCCATTTTACAGATGACAAAGCTGAGGCACTGAGAGACTACATAATTTGTCCAAGATTACAGAGAAATGAAAGGCAGAGCTGGAATCTGTGTCCCTAAACCCTGCTGTCTCCTGCCGTGGGCACACAGTAAGTGCTCAATTCACATTTGCTGTTACTGAGGCTCAGAGCCAGGGTCAGCTTCACGGGTGCATCACCTGTACAGTTCCATAGGGCCTGGACCTTAGAAGGGCAATGCTTCTTAATGTCCTGTCACTGTCTTGAAGTTCTCAATAACATTAACAAGAGGGCCCACATCTTCATTTTGCACTGGGCCCCCAAAATTCCATAGTCGATCTTGCTCAGAATCTGACAGGACGTGACCACCTCTTCCTCCTTCTTCATCCCCCACCTAGACTGTGAGCCCCTTGGGCTCTGAGATACAGCGACTTATCTCTCCAACCACCTTATCCCATGCCCGGCAGGTAACAGGTTCTCTTGTTCTGGGCAAGAGGGACAGAGATGGCTAGAGTCACAGCTGTTGCCCCTGCCTGTATTTCCTCTCAACACCCCCAAGAAGAGCTTCCAGCCCCAGCAGCCTCAGGAACTGCCAGAGAAGAAACTTTTCAAGATGTGAGAGGACTCCCAGCCAGTGGCCACCCAAACCAGGTGTTTCCAGAATGGCCAGGGGAGGGGGTATAGCCAGAAGACGGTGTAGATCACTGCGACTGGGGAATCCCAGCTGGGCCCGAAAGACCCTAATAAGCAGTTAATTATGATGCTGGCTCTGTAAACAGTGGCAGTGAGACCTGGTATAATGTGTAATTACACTGGTTGGAGCTAGAACTGGGCAGCGTTTTCTCCTGCGACGCTGGAGGTAACACAGATCCCAAAGTGCAGGCTTGTGGTCAGGGCACAAAGGTAAACAAGACCCTCCCTAAGGGCAGGCAGGACTCAGTCCAAAGGTTCAAGTGCAGAAATGATGGGGGTGAAAAGAATTTTTCCTTTCTTTTTTATATAGTGAGCAGGTAGTGGGGGTGGGGTGGAAGGGAGGACAGCACCTACTGTCTGTCAGTCTCTGCTCCACTGATATTATGAGAAAGGCATCTGGGGCCAGGCAGGGGGCCTGGGCATTTCTGGGACTGGACGTCACACCTCTACAGTGCTTGCCTGCCTGCCTTTCCCTCCTCCACACACATTTCTAATTACTGATACTTTAAAAATCGACGTGAAATTCACATAACATAAAATTAACCATGTTAAAAGTATACAATTCAATGGCATTTAGTACATTCACAATCTTTTTTTTTATAATTGAAGTACAGTGGATTTACAATGTTTCAGGTATATAGCAAAGTGATTCAGTTATACATATATATATATATTCTTTTTCATATTCTTTTCATTATAGGTTATCACGAGACATTGAATATAGCTCCCTGGGGGTATATAATAAGTCCATGTTAGTAGTGTGTACATTTACAACCTTATGTAACCACCATTTCTAGCAAGTTCCAAAATATTTTCATCACTCCAAGAGGAAATGCTGTACCCTTTACTCACTTACTCCCAGGCAACCACTACTTTGTTTTCCGTCCCTATGGATTTGCCTATTCTGGACATTTTTATACAGATAGAATCATATCACATGTGACCTTTTGGGGCTGGCTTCTTTCACATTGCCTCATGCCTTCAAGGTTCATCCACACAGTAGCATGCATCAATGCTTTATTACTCTTTATGGACAAATAATATTCCATGGTCTGAATCTGCCACATTTTGTTTATCCACTGGTGGACATTAGGTTGTTTCTACTTTTTGGCTTTTATAAAAAATGCTGTGAACATTTGTGGACAAGTTTTTGTGCGGACGTGTTTTCAGTTCTCTTGGGTGAACTGAGGAGTGAGATGGCTGGGTCACAGGGTTACTCTAGATTGAGCTTTTTGCTGGTTTCTATGCCATATGGTGCCATAGAAACATATTTCTTTCTCTTCTGTAATGCACAAGGGTTCTGATCCCCCCCATACCCTCACCAAGGCTTATTTTCTTTCTCTGAGTTTTTAAAATTTATTGGGGTATAGTTGCTTCACAGCATTGTGCTAGTTTCTGCTGTACGGCGAAGTGGATAGGCCGTATGTATACACAACTCCCCTCCCTTCTGGATTTCCTTCCCATCTAGGTCACCACAAAGCACTGAGCAGAGCCCCTTGTGATAAACAGAAGGCTCTCGCTAGTTATCTATTCCATGCATAGCAGGGTATACATGTCAATCCCAAAATAATCACTGATTTCTCACGGGGGCTGAGGTAAGCCTCTCTCTGCCACCGGGGCTGAAACACAGCGCCCTGTCCTCTGGAATTACAGGAAAGCCCTATAGACGCTTTAGGCTTCCCAGGTGGCCCAGTGGAAAAGAATCCGCCTGCCAGGCAAGAGACGCAGAATCGCTCCCTGGGTCAGCAAGACGCCCTGGAGGAGGAAATGGCAACCCATTCCGGTACTCTTGCCTGGGAAATCCCAGGGACAGAGAAGCCTGGCGGGCTACGGTCCATGGGGTCGCAAGAGTCCGACACGACTTAACATCTAAACAGCAACGACCTATAGAAGCCAGAGTGCAGGAGGAACAATTTGGGACCCCCTAGAAATAATTCGTCACACAGATAGAGCTGGATAAAAAGAGCAGCTCCAAGTTACCCCAGTCCTGTGGGGCCCAGTGATGAGTTCAGCGCGGCAAGCTGCCCCCAGGTGCCGTGTGGGTGCCACGGAGGGAAACGGCTAAGTGTGAGTTGAGAGACAGCCTGGGCCTCTGGAACCCAGCCAGCTTTGCCCCGGACGCCCCTGCCTGAGTGTCACTGAGGGAGACGACGTTTGCAGCTCTGGGGAACCTGGCACACGGCAACGCTGATGAAATGAGGGGCCACTTCGGGTACTGGGAGGTGGTGGGAACAGGGCCAAACTGTGTGAATAGTCACATGGCTTCTCCCGCCTGTGAAGGAACCGAGGACAGCCTTACCTCATATCATTGTGCCTCACAGATGCCGCATTTTTAACCAATGGGAGGCCGGCAACACTGCGTTGCGCAAGTCTGACGACGCCATTTTCCCCACGGCACTTAGGCAAATATCTCTGTCAAGGTTTGGTAAATCTCGCGATATTTCAAACTTTGTCATTATTATATATCAGTTATGGTGGTCTGTGATCGATGATCTTTGATGTGACTAAAATGAAAAGGTTATGACTTGCTGAAGACTCAGATGATGGTTTAGCAATAAAGTATCTTTTAGTCAAAGTATGTGCATTGGGTTTTTGGCTGTTTTTTTTTTTTTTTTGGACATAATGCAATTGCACACTTAATAGACTATAGAGTGAAGTCGCTCAGTCGTGTCCTACTCTTTGCGACCCCATGGGCTGTAGCCCCAAAGCTCCTCGGTCCATGAGATTTTCCAGGCATGAATACTGGAGTGGGTTGCTATTTCCTTCTCCAGGGGAATCTTCTCGACCCAGGGATCGAACCCGGGTCTCCAGCATTGCAGGCAGATGCTTTACCGTCCGAGCTACCAAGTAAGCCCAAATAGATTATAGTACAGTGTAAATATAACTTTCCTATGCACTGGAAGCCAAAAAATGAACGTGACTGGTTTTATTTCAATATTCACTTTATTATTCCATTCCGCTGGAACGGAACCCGCAGTAACTCAGCGGTCTGCCTGTACTACTGCATTATACTTGCGAGGGAAGAGAACCAGAAATATTTGGCAAACGGCACTAATGACTCCCATGTATAACCGACTGCTAATTGTGTATAATCTACAATGTATTCATAGGTAAGCAATAATTACAATGATGTTTAGGAGTGCTTGCTATGTACCATGCACTGAGCTAAATGCATCTTTTGATGAATTCTCACGGCAGTCCTGGGGCCTAGGCATTATGATCTCTAATGATTCTAGTCTGTTATTTAAGGATGCTTTAGGCTGCAAGTTATAGAGAACATAACTTAGGCTCAAATGGCCTTAACCACAAGGAAGATTCATTATGTCACATGATAAAACATCCGAGGAAGGGCACACTCCGGTGGTGATGCCCATGGCTGCATTGTATCTTCAAGGTCACCAGTTCCTCCCATCTCAGACCTGACCTTCTCAGGCTGCAGGACTTGCAACATCACATTCAAACGTCATGACCGTCCAGCATCACCTTCTTAGGAGGGAGGAGGACTTTTCCCAGAAGCCCTAGCAGACTTTCCCCCTGTGTCTCTTTGGCTGTCACTGGATCACATAACCACTGGGGAACTAATCCCAGCAAGAGAAAGGGGAGCCCCACGCTTGACGTCTGTTTGGGTTTAATACATACTGGGGAGGTGGGAGGAGTGGGGTTAAGCACAGTGAACAGATCCAGTGTTTGCCTTCTTCTTGACCTGCCGGATAGTCAGGGAAGCAGCTGAGGTGAGGGTGGTCCTGAGCCCTGCAGCTCAGTCACCCTCCACTCCTGATTTCCTTGTTTCCATGGTGTCCAGCACCTGGGTATCATCTGCCTTCAATCCCCCCCCCCCCCCAGCATCTAGCCAACCAGTGACCCCGCACGTCCATTCCAATCAGCCAGCCCAGCTCAGAGCCAGCCAGAGAACTTTCCATTCTGCTCCTGATCATGTGTCCACCCGCATCAGCCTTTCCCGGCTGCCCGCAGGGCCGAGACCTCTCAGAACTGCTCCTGTGCAGTCAGACATATCAGGCTGATCAGCAGTTCTGGGCGGGGGCCAGCAGGGGCAAGGGTCTTTCGGGTTCTGTCTGTCCACGTACATCAAGCTGTTCCCAGCCGGCGGCTCCAGCACCATCAGGCAACACGGCAGGGCCTGGCTCTGTCAGTGGAGGAGCCGTGCAGCTAGAACCCCGCTGTTTTGCCTGGGGTTGGGCGAAGGCGATGGACAATGGTGGTGAGGGTTTGGGAGGAGTAAAAGGTAGGGATGACAGAGGGAGAAGAAAAGAACAGAGTGAGAGAAACACAAGGAGATTCCAAGACAGTGGGGATCTCATCTTAGTCCTGCCTGCCTGCACCCCTAACTCCTAACAGAGTGCCTGGCACAAAGCAGGAAAGAGTTGGTTCAACTGGTCTGAACAATGGAAGAGAGAGAGGTGATCCCAAGAGCAAGGAGGGGGAGGAAGAGGAGAGCGATGCAGAGAACAGAGCAGGGCAGAAAGGGGTGGTGAGTGTAACCCCTCTTGTTTGTCTTTCCATCCCTTCACTCTCGAAACCCCCGGTTTACTGAGGCAGCTCCACAAGTGTTTATCTTGCTGAACCAAGTGAAGAGAAGGAGAGGGGAGCCAGAGTCAGACAGGAAAGAAGACAGAAAGAAGAAAACCCCAGGGGGAAGGGGCTCCTTGGAGGGGAGAGAGATTGTGAGACAGAGAGAAACAGAGAGAGAAAGGGGAGGGGAGGTCAGTAATCAGGAAAGAGAATATGCAGGACCAACCCAGGAAAGGAAGTGGAAGCGAAGAGGTGAGGCAGGCAACTGGGAGCTGGGGCAGGCTCAGCCCTTTGATGAAAATGCACATGAGCAAACGTGCTGGGATCTGACAAGTGCCAACAGGCCCATCGCAGAGTTAAAAAGTGCTACAGCTGTCAGGGTTTCAATTTTTAAGTCAGCACTTTTCTTCTCCACATGCTGGGATTCTGCAACTATGGTCTTCCCCACGCGTCTCCTGCGAGCACTTGGGGCTTGTCCTGGAGCCTTTAGACTTCCAGGGAACCTGGGAGGGTGGGGTGGGTATGTTTGGAGGGTCCATGGCTGGGGAGGGGGGTGTGGCTGCCACCCCTACAATGGTTGCGGAAGTGTTCTTTGGAGGGAGGGCACGGGAAAGTAGGTAAGGTTTTCAGCAGACACTGGGACCCAAGGCGGTGAATTGGGTTGAATAGAGTCCCTCCAAGTTCATGTCCATCTAGAACCTCTGAGTGTGACTTTAGTTTTGGAAATTTGGTCAAAGCCCTTGAGGTAAAATCCTCCTGGGTTTACGATGGGCTCTAAATCTGATGACTGGGGTCTTATAAGAAGAGGGGAGGATGCAGGGCCAAAAGGAGAGAAAGGTGGTGTGAAGACAGAGGCGGAGACTGCAGTGACACAGCCACAAGCTGAGGAACACCGAGGATGGCCTGGAGCCATCAGAAGCTAAGAGAAGGCAAAGAACCCTCTCTCGCCTAAATCCTCCAAAGGAACCCTTGATTTTGGACTTCTGCTCTCCAGTACCGAGAGGGAATCATTTCTGTTGTTTTAAATTCCCCAGTTCCAGGTAACTTGTTACAGCAGCCCCAGGAGACTAATACAAACTCCTGGCCTTAGGGGACCCGTTTTGCATGCTCTTGGGTCTAATGGAATGGGGGGGCATGACTGTCAGAGATGAAGGAGGGTGTCTGGCTCTCAACCTGGTCCCATCCAGTCTCCAGAGCTGGAGAGTGACTTTTGTCCCCACACGAGAATCACATCGATACTCTGCTCTCCAGAAGAGAACTCGGGTTCCTGCCCTGGCAGCTGGAAGTTCTGTCTGGGGGCAGGGTGGGGGGGCAGATGGGGAGTGGGGGTGGCTGGAGAGGGGGGCTTTCATCCAGCTGTGCATTCAGGGGCTAACAGAGGCTCAGGAGACCACTAGATCCCACAGGACCTGGGCCCCACGGGACATAGGGCTCTCCTGGGTGCTCCTTCGGCAAAAGCTATGACCTCTGATAGTATTAAGTCCCGCAACTTCCACGGTGTGTGAGCTTCCCTTGGTCTTGCCTTCAACTCTGGGCTTTGAAAATAGCCTCCTCTGAAAAATGAGAAAGAAAATTCCTCCTTCCTGTGGTCACTGGGAGAATTGAAGAAGAAAATGTACAAGAAGAGCCTGGACAAGGCTTTAGGAGATGGTGATGAGGGAGATGAAGATCTCTCCAAGCCAATTTCTGTCTGGCCCTGAATGCTTATAGTGGGCTGTAAGGAAAGATGGCCTCTGCTCGTTAGCAAAATTGTCCACAAATGTGTGGAATTATAAGAAAACTGTCAAAATACATGACAATAGCAAGTGACTGGGATTTACCGCCGCCTGACTGGGATCAGGTCTGACATGGGGTCACACAGGCAGGAGGCAGTGCGTCCCATGACCAACTCATCCAAGTTTGTCTGGGACAAGCACCAAAAGTCCCATAGCCTGGACAAACAGGGACAGCTGGTCACCCCACATGGAGGTGGAAACTCCAGGTGGAACTTGAAGGAATCATTCCTTCATGCATCCATTCTCTGAACATTTTTTGAGAGCTCACCAAAGGCCAGACTCTTTTGGGCGCTGGGGACACTGGACGTAGCTCCTGCCTCCAGATCTCTCGCGGGCATACTTGCGTGCATACGTCTATCATTCAGGAAAGCATCTACTGGGCAGCTGCTGTGTGCCAGGCAGGCAGGTGAAGTGATGGCAGAGACAAGTGATGTCATTTCTGAACTCAAGATGCTCACGGCTAGTCGGGGGAAGGGGTGGTGGAAGGCCATCCCTTCCAGCGCAGGAAGGGTTGCTGCAGCATTTAGTGGGTGGAGAGACCTCAGGAGAGAAAGGGGAGATGCCCAACCCCATGAGGGCTGCGTTTCGGTGGCAGTTCAAAGGATTTTCTGGAAAGAGGTGGCACAGAGAGGTGGCAGGCACCAGTCAGAGAGATGGAGAAGGGCACTGAGGCAAAGGAATCAGCCAGAATACAGGTGGCCAGGCAGGGAGCCTGGAGGAAACATGAGTGGGGCAACGTGCGTGCAGAAAGAAGCCTCGGGCCCCTGGCAGGGAGGCGGTCAGGATGAGGGCAGGCAAGGAAGGAGCGAGTCCGGCCTGCAGTGGCGCAGAGGATGGAGCCGGCAGGATCTGTGGGAGGGTCGTGACGGAAGGGCGGTGTTTAGGCCCTGTGCCCACCCTGGCTGGGGCTGGGGCAGCTGTCCTGGCTGCTGGCACAGAGCACCGTGGGGAGGCGCAGTGGAGGGAGGGCACACGAGCTCAGCTTCAGGACCAACACTCGCTGAGAGGAACAAGGAGAACAAAGAAAAGTCAGGACCCACTGGGCATCACCCTACACTTGGGCCCCAGTTTGGGGAGCTGGATGGTGGCACTGAGCCTTCCTTGGAGTTGGGATCAAGCATGCACGTTGTCCCTACCTGTCCTGTCATTTTTTCCGTCCAAAGAATAAACACCTGCTG